CTCTCGGTTATGTGCAAAAAGATGCCTTGATCTCCTTCCTCATGCTGGTGTGCACTCTAGATCATTGTTATTGCTTATGTCAACATTATCGAGCTTTCCCTTGGCAGGTGCAATGCTGTAAATGCCAACAGAATCTGCCAATAGTCAAATCAGTTTGTGTCTAATGTATACTTAATTATTGCATACTAAATATGAATAAAAACGAAAAAGGTTTGTCTTTTTTATTTTTTGTACTGTCTGGTGTATTGTTTAAATGTCAAACAATTTGACAGCTAAGAAAATCAAGAGTTAGTGGAGATAGTTTCTTAACACAGTAACTTGCTATTTAAATTTATGTAGCCAAATAACTTTCAAAAGTTTGGGGTCAGTAATGTTTGAAAGAAATTTTACTTTTATTCAGAAAGAATGCAATAAATTGATTAAAAGTGAGAGGAAAGACTTTAAAAAGTTAGAAACGATATCAAATAAAAGCTGTTCAAATAAACGTTTTCTTCATCAAAGAAACTTAAAAAAAAATGGATCATGGTTTTCACAAAAACATTAGGCTGCACAACTGTTTTAAACACTGACAATAATAAGAAACGTTTCTTGAGCAGTAAATCAGTATATTAGAATGATTTCTGAAGGATCATGAGACACTAAAGACTGGAGTAATGATGCTGTAAATCCAGCTTTGCATCACAGAAATAAATTACATGTTAAAACATATTAAAATAGATTTTTTTTTAAAAATTGTAATTATATTTCACAATATTAATTTTTAATATTATTGTTTTTTCTATACCAAGAACCCTTATTAACACTCTCCGCACATGAGAGAAGTCAATCTGAACTGACAGTGTCTGTATTCTTACATTCCACATTGCATTTGACGGCTGAGAAATCTTCATTTTCTGCCAATGTGAACACTAACAAGTTTAGATGATTTGGCTTGGTTCCAGGCCATGATATACAGTGGGTACGGAAAGTATTCAGACCCCCTTAAATTTTTCACTCTTTGTTATATTGCAGAAATTTAAGGGGGTCTGAATACTTTCCGTACCCACTGTAGCTTCAATGGCACTACTGTATGCAGATCAAATTTTTTTTTTATAGCTTTTTCAATTTAAACTAGATGAAAGGAAAATTAAACTCTGGTGAGTTTGCATTAATAAGAATAACAGCGTGCTGTGTTCAATGTCAGCTGAAGGCACCAAGGGGTTCAGATGTTTATTCAGACACTAATCAATTGAGAATGCAGCAGGGAGAGGCGTGAGCGCCATTGATTTTGTTCTTCTGCAGAGCACAGCTAACACACAGTGTTAAAGGGGACATCGGATGCCCATTTTCCACAAGTTGGTATGATTCTTTAGGGTAACCAAATACTTTGGTTAAAAATTCTTCAATGGTCGTGTAAAACGACACCCTTTTTACCTTGTCAAAAACAGCTCTGATCACAACGAGCCATTTTGGTGAATGGCTCTTTAAATGATAATGTGCTACTGCTCACCCCACCCCTCTCTTCTGTTTTTTTGTGTATTCGGTGGCGCGTTACCATCAAAAACAAAACTAATGTTAGACTCTCTTGTTCACTTTTACATCCAACTACAAAACACCTGGATTGCTTACCAGACATTATTGTCGCTATAGCTGCTCAAGCATGGAGAAAATGGCGGACAGCGTACAATGGGCTGAGGGAGGAAATATGCTAATACAGGACAGTCCGTCAGCGGATGTGTGCGGGGCCTGAGCAGTATATGATGTCATTGTGCTCAGAAACTCAAAACGGCTTGACAATTAGTTTTTTTGAGGGGGGTTTAAAATAAGAAGTGAATGGATTTTTAGCATTATAGGGTGGCTGTATCCACACACTGCTAAGACACATTTATATGCAAACACTGTATAAAAGTGAATTTTGCATCCGATGTCCCCTTTAAAAGCCACTTTCCAAATAAACAAATGGCCACGCCATTGGGGTTTGTAACAGGAAACACTTCACACAGAACCACATTTCAAACAGTTTCATCATTTTTATTCTCCTGTTGCAGTAAACGGTTGTATGTACAGCAACCTGTGAATGAATATGGTGATAAAAGACGGCTCCACTTGTGTAACACTTGTCAGTTTGTTCATGTATTTGCAATTACAGTGCAACATGTTTTAATATTACTGTCAGTTTTTAGCTTTCATCTTTGTGGTGATTTGGAAAGCTGTCTCTGAGAGCACTAATCAGGGTATGACCCTAGAAAATGAGTTGAACTCCATCAGTTAACCCTGTTTACTTGGTTCATGTTCAAGAATTGGATCAAAGAATTTGTTTGGCTCAACATCTTGCCACTCTGTCACTGATTCAAGAGTAATTTGTTCAGACACTACAGAAAAGTCAGTGGAGAACTCGTAATAACAAACCAAGTTTTTTTCTTTAGTAAAGAAGTAGTTTCTAAAACAATAGGTTTCATCTAACATGTCCTCTCTAATACCTGAGGGAAAAACATGAGCAGCAGCAAACACTGACCTTTCTAACCTACATTGTGGAGGTGAGACTGAGGCAGTTCAAAACAACTATGGTGATCCGGCATCTTTAGAAGGTTAATGGGGAAACTGGCCTGAAATCCATTGTGTATCTGAATTATTCACCGAGTGTAATTTTTTTAGAGAATTGTCTCCTATAAAGGCAGAGGGTAAATTGCTCCCTCACTTGTCCTGAGGCCAAAAGCTCATTTTACATCCTTTCAGTGACTCGAGTAGAACTGGCCTGCTTTTAATTGTCTCAGCTTCAGATTATGAATGTGTTTTCCACTAGCCCTTAGAACTCAAAGCTATTTAAAAATGGTAATATAATATAATATAATATAATATAATACGTTTTATTCAGCAAGGATGCATCAACATTTACAATAAAGACATGTATAATGTTACAAAAGATTTATATTTTAAAGAAATGCTGTTCTTTCGAACTTTTTATTCATCAAGGCTAGAACATTCAGTGTAATTTCATATAAACTCTAAGAAAGGATATTTTCTTGGCCACAGAAAATAACTTTCTTACAGTACTAGTGCATTAGAGCATGTAGTTACATCGGATCGTAACAGGGACATTATTCACAAGCTGTGACAGAATCAGAAACTCATGTAATTTTAGATTTACATGATTACACAAGATTTATTAACTAAACACTAACACATAACTAGTCTAAACAAACAAACATACAATCACTCATACATTGAGGGAAGGGCAAATGAGACTGAATGCATGAAAGCATTAGAGAAACAGAGGATGAAGCTATGAAAAGAGTCAGTTAACCACCTGGGTAAAACCATCAGCGCTGTTTTACAACGGGGTCTACAGCTTATACTAAACCTCTGTTTCGTTTAGTTAAATGTACGATACTTGCATTGCCTTGGTCTTTGACGAGTGTCCGGATGCAGTCTCGGATGAAAGTCTTGATGGTTTTAAGGTTTGGTGGTGTTGGAGTTTAAATCACGTTCTTCCGGGTTTGAAGGATGATGAACTCCAAAGGCATCCTCTTCAGATCTAAAAAACCCACAGACTGGCTGTGTTGAGGTCTGCGCCGGCTCTGGGACTTAGCAACCAGAAGACAGGAAGGTGATGAGAGATGAGGGAAGAGACTAAAAAGCGAGGCGGGTCACTGATGTGAGGCCTTTTAAGTTCTGTGGAGGTCACACCTCTTGGGGATCAAAGAGCCAATGGTGACTTTCACTTTTGGAGGGAAAGTTTATGACTCTTTGTCTTAAAACATGGTATTTTGCATATGTAATGGGATTGGATGTTGATGCCAAAACTGTTAAAGTTTCTTAGAACAATAACATGTTGCATGGGTATCAACATACAATATACACTCTCATTTAGATCATCAAAATACGAATTCAAAGAGACCAAACATGGTATAGGTGAGGCTATATTAGTGATCTATCATAAGCATGCATAAAACAGTATACAATGCACAAGACCATATACAAGAAGGTTGTAATCATACACAATGACCTGGGGATATGCATGATAGGAAAGTCATAGAAAAATTTGTCTATGAATTAATGAAAGAAGTCAATTCCTATAGCAGTATGTGTCTGTTTTAGAGAGAAATAAGTAGGGGGGAAGATTCTCTCTACATAATTTTAGGTCGTAAAGTTTATCTGATCTGGCTGAGGTGTCCTGGTTACCATGGTAACCAGGGGCCTGTTCTGCCTTTTTGAGGTGTACTGTAAGTCACATTTTGGTGGAAGGGTCCATAGACCCTCATAGTTGGCTAGTTGGTTGGGTGAGGGGTGTTAGGGATTATTTGTTAAGTATAACAAATAATTGTGTGTCTTATTGGTCCAGATGCTACAACACATATTTTACAACAATTTCACATAATTTTTATAGCAATACAAAACATGAAGGACATATGCAAATTAACAGAGAGGCATTTCTGCACCTGAGCTGAGCACTTTAATGCATTGTTACTTGTTCATCTCTAGTTGGCAGTAACCCTAAAGACACATGAGAGGATGCATTTTCTTTGCACATAGAGGGGTCAGCATAAAATACTCTACTTGAGTGTGCACCAGTTGATGTCTAAATTTAGGATCTTGTGTGATTGATAGAGATAAACTGGTATGAATAGAGCCAAAGATTTAAGCGTTACAACATCCTGAACACTTCCTGAGGCAGAGGTTTATTTTAACACTTGATGGTTGCTGTTTGTTGACTTCACAGGATGTATTCAGGGCAAAACAATGATCTGAACTGAAATATCCAGTTTTTGTCAGCACACAACATGACTGTGATCTCCAGCTCCCCAGTATACCATCTTGGCTTTTGAAACAGTTCTGATAATTACTATTCTGAAATGCTGCTGCTGTTATATGTAGCCATATGCAGTCATGAAATATCTTTAACTGTAATTATATGGGAATCATGTCATTATTAAGAGGATTTTTTTCACACTATTCCTGCCCGACTGTTCCCAATAACTCAAAACTGTGTGCACTAATGCACCGTATGTGTTATTTTTCAGTGGCATCCCTGGGAAGAATTGTGGTACCATTATTCTCACCGCAGAGGAACTCGGAAACTGTCGGGTAAGTCAGCAGTTTTACTTTATCCTCCAAAGAATAGTTTTACTCTGAAATAATTGTTTTTTTCAACCCCTTTTCACTTCGAAATGCTTGCAACTATTCAGCAGTGAAAACCTTTACTGAAATGATTCACTTTGATTAGAAAGCTGACTACTGTTATACTCTTGAGATCAGACCATTCACTGCCTGGCAGCCAAATACATTATTCTACAGAAATGAACTGGATTGTGCCTATGTCTGAAATATAAGTTGTTTCCACAGACAAAAGGGTAACAACATTTGAACACCAAAGCCACCTTTAAATACTTTTATTTCCATCTTACTGACAAAATGTAATTAAAGCATAAATAATGGAATAACAGAAGCAATGGTATATGTAGTCACACGTTTGCATCATTATTTAATACTTCTAACATGCATTATTAACCATCTTTTACACTGGCCATTTACATTATTCTGCTTAACTAAATAAAGACCAGCGCATAGGCTTGATGGAGAAGCAGCTGAAAAATTACTGAAGTGAAGATCACTGCAGCATTGCCCATTGGGTACTGTTAGAGCTTTTGATCTAATACACAATGAAGGCTTTGTTTGTCTCCCTTGTTCTTCTGAATACTTTTAGCTGGTATTTTAAGACTGCTCTTATTGAACCTAAGGGTCATGAAATTGCCATCAAGGTTTTCAAGGAGGAATGAACACACAATGGAATGTTGCAGCAACTGGTGTCACAGCTTGAGTAAAAAAAAATAGTCTTAAAATTGGTTTGAAAAAATCTAAGTGAGATATGGATTGTGTGGCCTCTCTGAACCAATTCAAGAGTGATGATGTCTCCCCCTTAGAAGTCCCTTTCTAAGACCTGTGTACTCATAACATGTTTTGTTAGACCTGCATTGATTGTCTGGTCCTAAGTATCTGGAGAGGACCAAGTATCCAGCATTTAATATTCTGCTTATGCATTTTAAACCTGTTCTGACGTCAGTCTTGATTGCTCTTGGACCAAAGGATCCGATATAGTATCAGCGAATAACACTAGATGGATATGATGAGAGGGTTCTTATAAATGGGAGTTCAAAGAGAAAGGAAAAATTTAAATCGCATCATATGACCCCTTTAAAGAATTGACTCATTTGTTTCGACTACAATAGTTAGCCAGCAATGACAACGAATAACATGTTTTATGTTGCAGTCCTCAGTCATTTTATTTCATCATATTCTCTTTAGACTGCATGTTAAAATATAACCATTCCATTTGTGGATTCAGTGGAGGAGGTCAGACAAAGAAGTTTCTATCTCCATCCCTCCCATCTCTTTATCATGTCTTCTCACTGGAACGTTCCAGTTTCGTCCCTCTGTCTAATAAAGTTTACTCTGTCACTGGTGATAGTACTCATTAAATCACTGAAATAGCAGTGCAGAGTAAATTACAGCTTTTCCGGGTTGTAAATGGCTATGTTGCGCTGACTACAAGCTCAAACACACACAAAGGACTGTTCATTTGAGCCATCTATTGCACACACTCACAGCCTCACTCAAGCTCATTTGAAATGCTCAAAAAGCTTTTCCCCTCTGTGAGAGTAATATATTGGTACATCTGCTTGATCTATATATATTTCACATGGTAGATCAAAAGATTTTACAGGATGTTATGAAAGGCTGGGTTTTGATCAGGTACATGCAAAGAACAGCTATGAGGAAATGCACCATGTGGAGACGAACCCTCCGCTTAATAGGTTTGCAGATATCTTCAAAAGTCTGTCTCTTTCCAAGAAGGTACATAGATGAATCCCATTCAGAAACCAGATAAAACCTGCAAACCCAAAATAATGAATGAAATGTTTCATCTCTGAAGTTCATTGTGGCCAAAGACAGGGCAGCTTTAGCTGTGATGTGAATCGCTTTGACTGACTGTCATTTATATAACTAACTATGCTGTCATTTAAGTTGTTTACTGTTGCTGAAGAAAGAATTGCAATCTGCAAGAAGACTGACTCTCATGCTCGATTGCTCGATAGACGCTGGATTCCATACTAGCATAGGTTGATATTTCGCTTTTCTCTGCCCAAATTGTTTTCAGCTCAAATTGATCTTGCCACTAAGGTCTATTCATGGGATCATAATCGCTGTGAATGCTTGGTTTGAATGGGGCTGTTAATCATGTGCAAAGTCCTCCACACACTATGGTTTAGTTTCAGTCAAGAAACAATTCAAGCAATGTGTAATAGAAGGTAGTGCTCCCTCGGCCATTAAATATAAGGTGAATTGTCCCTAGAGCGTGGAAAGACCACTGGCCATGTTCATCAGTGGATATACCATTAAGACTAATGACTTCGTATCAGTTAGACCTCACACCATACCATTATGGCTAATGAGGGTTGTCTCCATTGTGTTGATAACATCCCTCTGGCCCGAGAAGCCCCTAGCAAGCAGGTTTACGATGATGTCAGTCATTACTGGAGTGTAATTTGCAGTATGAACTGCACATCACGTGAATGATTCCTTTGGAAATGTTCTAGATCTCCTTCAATCTCTTCTCTCACTCACTCTTCGTCTCTCCTCACTGACTCCAGCCTACAATTTCATCCTTCTCTGAATGGCACTCTAAATGCAAGATAGTGTTTAGCGGCTAATTGGTTCAAATGGAATTGATGTTTGTTGATGCCAGGCACAGATTAACCATTTGGGCCACAAAATACCCATTTAGGGGCCACAGACGGTTTTTCTTTTGTATCCCAAGAAATTGCAGGTAATAATAAAAATTAGATTGGCATCTTGATTCATGTGGACTGTTATTTTAGTATTATTTATATACTATTGTTATTGTTATTTATATTTTGAATTTTGAATTTTTTATTTTAAATTTAGTTAAAATTTTAGACACTTTGCCACTTTTTAATATATCTGTATTTTGCTGCCATGACATCATTTAAAAAAATAATTATGTCAGCTTTATTTTAATTAATGAAAACTTTTAATAATTTTAGTTTTGGTTTAAAGGGGTCCTATTATGCTCTTTTACAAAGTCTTGATTTTGTTTTGAGGGTGTACTAGAACAGGCTCTCATACTAGGTTGTTCGAAAAACACATTATTTTTCACATATTTTACATTATTACAACACCTCTCTCCCCAGTCTGGCATGAACGGCTCGAATAGTTCCTGTATCAAATGAAGGCCTGCCTTCTGAAATACGAAATGTGCTGTGATTGGTTAGCTGGGCCAGTGTGTGTTGTGATTGGCAACACTCGGTGCCTGGTCGGGAAATGTCACGCACCTTACCATCGCCGCCTGCGAGCTTCAGTGTAAATATTGCATCAAAATCAAATCAATTTGAGAGCGATTTAAACCCGGATGATTGTAACCACTCTAAGTTGCAAACAGGAAGCAGGAATAACACTGTCCAACAGCGACACCCGCCTATAACACTCGTTGCCTTTTCTAGACCAGGTCTCGTCCCATTCGTCGGTATTTGTGATATCACAAATCCCGGAAAATATGCGTTGCAGTCCAAACGAGTCGTTCGTTGTAGTTTTTGAAAAGTGATTTATGTTCAATAAAATATCTCCTTTTGAAGTGGACTTTGAACTTTGTAACTTTGCAGATCTTTTTTATGCTCAAACAGCAACATTACAGACTAACTAATGTTGAAAAAGTCAAAAAGCATAATAGGACCCCTTTAACAATAACACTGTTCATGTGTCAGTGAAGTACATAATTATTATATAAATTCAATGATGATCTAATAACATTCTATACAATATTACAGTTACAATTTTCATAATTTCGGCTCTGTATGCCACCAGAATAGAATTAAAATGAAACAATCAAGATGAAATTGAAGTGCAGACTTTAAGCTTTAATTCAAAGGGGTTGAACAAAAATATAACTTAAAATGCTTAGGAAATACAACCATTTTTATACACAGTCCCCCCATTTTCAGGGGCTCAAATGTAACTGGACAAATAAATATCATGATAAAAATGAAAAAAAAAATTCATTTTTGATATTTTGTTTAGAATCCTTTGCAGGCAATGACTGCTTTAAGTCTGGAACTCATAGACATGACCAAAGACTGGGTTTCCTCCTTTGTGATGCTCTGCCAGGCCTTTGCTGCAGCTGACTTCAGTTATAGTTTGTCTTTCTGCCTTTAGTTTTGTCTTCAGCAAGTGAAATGCATGCTCAATCGGGTTGAAATCAGGAGATTGATTGGACCATTGCAGAATATTCCACTTTATTACCGTCAAAAACTCCTGTGTCCCCCCATTTTCAGGGGCTCAAATGTAACTGGACAAATAAATATCATGATAAAAATGAAAAAAAAAATTCATTTTTGATATTTTGTTTAGAATCCTTTGCAGGCAATGACTGCTTTAAGTCTGGAACTCATAGACATGACCAAAGACTGGGTTTCCTCCTTTGTGATGCTCTGCCAGGCCTTTGCTGCAGCTGACTTCAGTTATAGTTTGTCTTTCTGCCTTTAGTTTTGTCTTCAGCAAGTGAAATGCATGCTCAATCGGGTTGAAATCAGGAGATTGATTGGACCATTGCAGAATATTCCACTTTATTACCGTCAAAAACTCCTGTGTTGTTTTTGCTGTATGTTTTGGGTCATTGTCCATTTGTACTATGAAGCGCCTTCCAATCAACTTTGCTCCATTTGGCTGAATCTGGGCAGAGAGTATATCCTTATACACTTCAGAATTCTTCCGGCTGCTTCTGTCCTCTGTCACGTCAGCAATTATCACCAGTAACCCAGTGCCACTGGAAGCCATGCATGCTCATGCCATCACACTGCTCCACCATGTTTCACAGATGATGTTGTATTCTTTGGATCAGGGGTTGGCAACCTTTTCGGCATGACGTGCCATTTTTAATTTTTCTGGTTAATCGCTGTTTTTTAAGTAACTAAACTCAGCTTCATTGTTTGTAGAGAGAGACACAGACGCAGACAATTTACACATCTCTCTCTCTCTCAAAATTTGAGTAGTTTGCATCACTGGATATAGCTGTCGGTCATTTAACATTTTTATCGTAAAACGCTCTCTCTCTCTCTCTCTCTCTCAAAATGGCCATATTTGAGAAAAAAAATCGAGTAGTTTGCATCACTGAATATAGCTGTCGGTCATTTAACATTTCTATCGTAAAACGTATCTTTTAAAGTTGACGAATATTAAATGGTTTGCAGCTTCATCTTACCTCGCTCTCTTTAACGTTACACTGATGCTTCGCACTCTGTTTCTGTGAACAGTAAACCCCGCCTACTTTGATTTGATTGGCCATCTCAGTCATTTTGACATTGATGAGTGCTGTTAGACCGCTGAGGCTTTAATCTGAAGCACCTAGTATGTGCAGCGGTCGCGCGCATCCATAGACTAGCGCAAGTTAATTCTCACACTTTAATAGTTTTTATAGCTCCTAACAGGCTGTGTGACTACAAGAAGTTATTACCTCAAAATGTATGTCAGTATGCAGTTTTCCCTATTGCTCGCGTGCCAGCGATTATCCCTCTGCGTGCCACTGTTGGCACGCGTGCCGTAGGTTGCTACCCCTGCTTTGGATCATGAGCTGTTCCAAGTTTTCTTTACCATGGAGAGGATTCTCCGATCATCCACCACTGCTGTCCTCCATGGACGTCCATGCCTTTTTATGTACCAATTTGGCCACTCCTAATGTTCCTGCTATCTATCTGATGGATTTGTTTTGTTTTTGAAGCCTAACAATTGTCTGTTTCACTTGTATGGAGAGATCCTTTGACCTCCTGATGTGGGTTCACAGCAACAGCTTCCAAATGAAAATGGCTCACTTAGAATCAACTCCAGATCTTTTATCTGCTTAATTGATATATAAATAACGAAGGAATAGCCCACGCCTGTCCATGAAACAGCTTTTGAGTCAGTTGTCCAATTACTGATGGTTCCTTGAAAAAGGGGTTTAGGTACATATTAAAGAGCTGTAATTCCTTAACCTTTCCTCCAATTTTGATGTGAATACCCTAATTAAAGATCAGAGTGTGCACTTTAAGCCCATATTCATTATATAGCTGTAACTTGAATATGTTTTAGTCAGCAGCTAAAATAATAAAAATTGTGCCTGTGTCCAAATATATATGGACCTAATTGTATATATGATAAGACAATAATTAATTTCATATTATGGTCGATAATCATTATATGCATTTTTTATTGATGTTTTTTTATTTGCCCAGATTTTCATAATAAAAGATTATTTTAGGTAACCCTACCTAATGATAAACATGAATCTGCATAAAACTACTCCACTAAACAAAAACATTACATTCTACCATTGAGCCCTTGGAAAAAGACAAAACATTATGTCCATCAGAATGAGAAAATTACAGTCAGTGTTGTAGGGGGATGTCACTATCGACATAGTGTGAAATATTGTGATTAAAAAAGGGCCAGCCGTGTTTTTTGAGAGCTAAATATTGAGCCACAGTCAGGGTCAGTGGAAATTGTGGGAGGATTTGTTCATTAGCAAATTATTTATTTCAGAGTTGTTCAACGAAGACTTATTTTACCTTTAAAGGGGTCATATGACGTTGCTAAAAAAAGAACATTATGTTGTGTATTTGGTGTAATGGTCTCTTACCTCAAGCGTGTGACGGAAATGTTACGCCCCTTACCTTACTGTGATGCCGTGTCCTGGCATGATGAGACAAAACCAATAAAACCCATTACAAACGAGGCATTTGTTGCATCCAGTGGGGACATAATTATTGATTATAATGACTTATACTGTCTTTTTATGCGTTGCGTTTGCAATCGCGCCCCGTAAACATAAAACCATGTCTGCATTTGTGATCGGAGAAACGACAAACAATAAGCGCTACTCTACACTGCTCAAAACTCGCGTTTGAATCGTCAGTGGCAAATTCTTTAAATATGAAAACATACTTACAGGCTGTGAGTCAGCATTATTTGTCAGAAAAGTGTAGGCTACTCTCCCAGGAAACAGTCCTCGTCCTCCGTAAAATGCGTTGCACACACACGAATATATGGGTTAAACTGTTCTGGAACAGTGTTGTAAACTTAACCACTGATTATTAGTTAGAGTCATTCCCCCTTTTTCTTTGTTTCTTTCGTTCTTTCTCTCAATTTCACAGGACTGTGCAACAATGCAGTTCTGTGCCAATAAGCTGGATAAGAAAGACTTCTTTGGCCGCTCTGACCCGTTCATGGTGTTCTACAGAAGTAATGAGGACGGAACGTGAGTTAGCTGTCTTTCTCACTCTGATGCGCAGGCAGGAAAGCGTGTCTTCTTTTTGTGATGTCCAAATTGTTCTAGCCAATAAAATTCTCTTAGTACAGTAAAGGCTTGCAATATGCAAACTTCTAACTGTAATAAAATATAATCATGCAATGTATACTGCTTTGTTTGAGTTTAACTTCTTTGTTTTTTTTGTTTCTTAGGTTCACTATCTGCCATAAAACTGAAGTGGTAAAGAATACGCTGAACCCCGTCTGGCAGCCGTTCACCATTCCTGTCAGAGCGTTGTGCAATGGAGATTATGACAGGTGCACTCACACATACACACACTGACATGCATGTCAGTATATACTGATGCTTGTGTGCCTGTCGCCAGTGTTAACAGCTCTCATTCACTAACAGTGCATGTGCGTAAAACCTGTGGGCAAAAGCTTTCACACAGTAATTGATTTGTCAATATATTTTTCAAAATATAGGATTATTTTTTAGATAAAACCCATACACAATCACAGAAATGTCTATATATTGTATTGTTACATATTATAATGTAATTTTTATTTATTTTGACTTATTTTTTATTAAATAGATATTTTTAAAAAAATTATATAAGTAATAATAGTAACATTACATTACATTACATTATATTATATTATATTTAGGGATGTAATGATTAACCTTGAGCCGGCTAAAAATCGATTCAAATATGTGACGATTCAAATCGGTTGAGATGCTAAACAAATCGTGATTCATTTAGGAGTAGGAGATTATATGAATGCATGTCTGAGGGGAACTTACTGTCTTTAGAAAAGTTTAGATGGTATTTTTTCTTTTCATCTTGCCTCTGTATAATGCATATTAAAGTTCATAAGTGCAGCGCTGCTTTGTTTACAGCGGAAACCAGGAAACGCTTTAAGCGCCACCTGCTGGCAGAGAGTGAATCTGCATCTCATTCAGCTCCGCTGT